CACCTGGTCCATAATGCACAGAAAGGTCAGTCCTTACCCCTTCCCTTCTCCCAAGGAGAGCTAGCTGGGAGGACCCTACAGCACCATTCACAGAGTCTGGAGGGGTCTTGTGGGACATTCTGAGCCGCAGATGCCTTGTACAGAGCGAGAGCCATGTCTGGGAGTGAGGTCACCAAACATTCAATATTCTTGTGCTGCTCTCCCCGCTAGACCAGAAATCAGGTGTGATGAGGTCACAGGAGCAGATGAAACGGTCGCTTTCGCCCTCATCCGGGGCGGGGAAAGTCTGTTCATCTGAGCAGCAGACTGTTTCTTAAGTGTCACTTTAGGCTGTTTCTGCCTGATGCAGGGAGCAGGCCTGATTTTTAAAACATCAATCAAATAAACCCTTTGCTGTCTAGAACTCTCAAGCAAGCAAGAAATCACTTGCCTGCTGCTGTGTTTTTGTCTGGTGATATCCATGTGCAGTCAGTAATAGTTGTGTCTGTCTGCTGAAACCTAAAACCAGGCCTCTGACCGCTTGTGATCATCAAGCTCCTCTGCCTCTTTCTGGTAAGACCAAGGCTGTTAACCTCAATATCCTGGCGAAATTCTGCCTACTTAAAATCCCCATGCAGTTGCAACTCGATGCTGCGTTCTTTTTAACTACGTATCCCGACAGGGTGACCAGATGTCCCGATTTTATAGGAACAGCCCCGATTTGGGGGGGGGTGTATGGGCTCCTATTACCCCCAGTCCTGATTTTTCACACTTGCTATCTGGTCACCCTATATCCCGAGCTCCTGCATGGTGATTGAAGAGCTGCTGTATTTCACTTTAGGGGCAGCTGCGTTTCAGGCCTGGCTGCTGTGGTCCCTGTATATCAGGTGAGGTTTGAGATCCTGGAGGATGAAAGGTGCTATATTATTGTCCGTTGGCATTAGGAGCTAGTCCAAAGCCCACTGAAGTCAGTGCAAGTTCTTCTGCGGGCTGCAGTGGGCTCGGGATCAGGCCCTACTAAGCAACTCAACCAAACCAAAGAGAGAACAAATCGCAGAGCTAAAATAAATGTCAGGAATACGTCCACAGGCGCCCTCTTGCTGTGGTCTCCTTGCACAGAAGGGAAATCAGTTTATGGGGAATAAGAGGTCAGGAAAACAAAACTGCCCAGCAGATAAGAAACTGCTCTAGCAAAATTAGTGGCATTGAGGTACTAGCGGCATGGACCCTGAACTTGTGTTAACCAGGCCGGCTCAGCAGTGCAGGCAGGCACGTGCTCACCTGAGCAGCTCCCATGCTACCTGCAGTTCTCTCCCTAGGGAACAGGAGCAACCCGCTTTCTGCTGGGAGCTGGGATGCAGAGTGGGACATCTGTCAGCCTGCCTGGGGCCTGCCCCCTCTCCCCCTGAGTCTCTCCGGCTGGGCAGGGTGTGAGGAGCTCACTTTCTCACGGCCACGCGTTTCCTGCAGGTGAAGCGCTAGTGCAGTCTGGGCAGCCACTGGGCGCGTCGCTCCATGCTGAGCAAGGCAATGCAGGTTGGGAAACCTGGGATCTAATGCCATTCCCACTGAAGTCCCTGGGCTGGAGTCTCACTTACACTAAAGTCCCTTGACACCACTCTAAGGCTGTTTGCACTGCCCAAGGCTGGCTAATGAGCCTTAGTGTGCCTAAGAATCAGGCCTGTTGACGTTAATGGGGGTTGGATCAGGACCCTGGTGGTTAACTGTATTAATAAAGTACCCAGGGCTGCCTTTGTTCAGGGGAAGGAGTGCAAGACAACTGTACGCAAAGGCCCTGGATCAACAGGGAATGCAAAGAAAAGGGGAGCGGGGCAAAACTCTTTCTGCACAAAGCAGAGAACCCTTAAAGGGCTCATTAGAGCTGAATAATGTCCGCCACAGACCAGGTGCTGCTTCTGACCTCAGACGAGTGGGGGCCTCGCTGTTCCCATTTCCCATGACAGCCCGGCTGGAAGCGCTGCTCTCCTTAGGGTTACGTCAGCAGTGTTTCTATTCGGCTGTAAAGCTTTGCTCTGGGTGATAGGTGGGATCTAAGTCGTCATGCTGAAAATTACGTTTTGAACCTCTAAGATAATCCATTGGGCTCTAAGTGGTGGGAATGAAAAAGGAAAAGGCTCCATTCACCATGTGCCAGGTGAATGGGGCCTGGATCCTGAAAGATGTCTATTGCACACAGCGCAGAGTGGAGAACCAGCCCCTCCGAAGAGCTGTTCCTGGCATCAGGCACATCAAAGTAACAGCTGCTTAAAAGAAACCTGCCTAAATACATATTTGCCGTTAACTGTGGGCTCCTTTGGAAGCATTATAGTCTTTTGGAGAAATAGGTGCTTACCCAAGACAAACGGTACAGTTTCATGTGAAGGTGGCAGGCTGGATTCTGCTCGCAGTTACCTGTGTACATTCAGAGTCACTCAGGTCAGCAAATGGGGTTACTCCAGATTTACACCACTCTCAATGAGACCAGAATCCGGCGGATCTATTTTATAACCATCCAAGGACACTTTCCTTACAGATTTCTGTAACTAAAGACACCAAATGATGTTCGACGACGACGAAAAGTGGCACAAAAGAAGGAACGGTAACAAAGTCCAAATTAAGGCTGACACACTGTCCGTGATGCCCACAGTATCTTTCTTACACAACTGTGTAAGGTTGGAAACTGCATCATGAGGCCACCCAATTTAAGCTTGGTCAATTTTCACCTTTATTCATAAATTTTCAGACAGAATTATTGTCCCTTATAGTTTCTGATCACATAATATGATAGACCATAAACAAATAAGACGGAACAGGTAGGAGTTCAAGTAACCGAGTTCTGGGGGACTGGGAAGTTCTCCTGAACTTCATGATGGTCTCTGGCCTCTGAGCTGGTGTTTTCCTGCAGTCTCTGGTCTGCTATTTCCCTGACTTGGGCCTTGCTCCCTTGGTTTCTTATTTCTTTCCATATTACACAGTCATTAGATTTCTTCCAATCAACCTTATGTAACATGACGCATACCCAGTTGTACATTCACCCCAAACTTTCATAATTGGTTTTTCATGCTCCAGTCTATGTTGTTATAAATCATTAGCATTACACCAGCATTAAACATAGCCTTTATTTTCTACCCTTCAGCCATTTCCTTTATGTTTCGTTGTCATCGTTCAGTGCCTGTGGATCATCAGAACCTTTAATTGCTATTAAATAAGAATAGGAGAGTTATGGGAACAATATGACCTGACCTTAATGTCAGCATTTTATTATCTTTTCCAAACGGCGTCTTCATAGAATCGTAGGACCGGAAGCGACTCGAGAGGTCGTCTAGTCCAGCCCCCTGCAGTCAACACAGGACTAAGTATTACCTAGACCAGGGGCAGGCAAACTTTTTGGCCTGAGGGCCGCATTGGGTTTCGGAAATTGTATGGAGGGCCGGTTAGGGGAAGCTGTGCCTCCCCAAAGAGCCAGGCGTGGCCCGGCCCCCGCTCCCCCTCCCCCCACTTCTCGCCCCCTGACGGCCTCCGCCCGGGACTCCTGCCCCATCCACACACCCCTGCTCCCTGTCCCCTGACCGCCCCCAGAACCCCCACCCCTGACTTCCCCCTGCCACCCCATCCAACCCCCCCTCTCCTTCCTGACTGCTCCCCCGGGACCCCTTCCCCATCCAACCACCCCTTCTCTCTGACTGCCCCCAGAACCCCTGCTGACTGCCCTCCACTGCCCCATCCAACCCCCCCCCTCCTTCCTGACTGCCCCCCAGGACCCTTGCATCCATTCAACCCCCCCCCCCGTTCCCCACCCTCTGACCGCCCCGACCCCTATCCACACCCCCACACCCTGACCACCACCCCGAACTCCCCTGCCGTCTATCCAACCCCCACTGCTCCCTGCCCCCTTACCGCGCTGCCTGGAGCACCGGTGGCTGGCGACACTAGAGCCGCGCTGTCCAGAGCACCAGGACAGGCACCATCCCTGACAGGTGTTTGTCTAACCTGCTCTTAAAAATCTCCAGTGTTGGAGATTCCACAACCTCCCTGGGCAATTTTATTCCAGTGCTTAATTCAGGGGGACTTTTTGCTCCAAGTCTAATATCATGCTTATAAATCAGTAAAAAAAAAAAAAAAAAAACTGGTTGGTAATTTTGCCTGTTGTATTTTGAGGTGCTTTTTAGTTTGCGGCCTCGATGATCAGTTTTTTTCCCCAACAACTGCATCAGACTTGAATGTTGTGTCAGCCGTCCCTTTGACATTGTTTGCTCCCCTGGTACGTCTTATTTCCTATGTAACAAACTCCACACGTGCTCCCTGCACGGGGGGCCAAGCTGAGAGGGTGGACGATGGTGTAAATTAGATCACCCCCTCACACTAACTTAGCCCCCGCTTGAACAGTGGTCCAACTACATTATAAAGTCACGGAGCGTCTCACAGAGAAAATGTTGCTTTATTTCTCTGCCGTAATTTGGGGCCTGACCCTGCAAAGTTTTACTTAGGCAAGTAGCCCAATGACTTCAATAGTAATATTTATGGCAGGTACGTGCTCATATCTCTCATCTGTTGCAATTGCTATGTGAACTACTTTAAAACTGAGCAGTAAAGAGGCACATGAGATTCTGGGATAGGTCCTGCATCTTCCTGTGTTTATATGTTGAGAAAGAAATGGGGTGGAGGCCAGCTAAGTATGAATAAAAGGCCAAAAGGAGGAAATGAACTAAACAAAGGAATTAGCCACGTTTGAGCAAGATCATTATGACTGATCCCTCTGTGTGCACACGGATATTTTTGTCAATGCAGAGCTGAGCTTCCATGTGAATAACCTCACAGACTTCCTTGTTCTTGTGGTTTGTTCTGAGCCGCTGAGCTGTGTGTAGTCGATTTAACATTTTACTAGACCAGCAGCACAATGCACACGGAAGGTGTTTGTGGTGATTCACAGAGGGGCTGGGCTGTACCATGGACTCAACCCATTGGATCACTAGACTTACAAGCGTTAGTCAGAAGGTGTCCTGTCCTCTCTCTGCCAATACCCCATTTGGAATGCAGCCTTCCGAGTGAAGAGGCCTGTCGGATGGTTTCCCTGGTATGTACATTTGAATTCAGTCCACAAAAGAACTCCGATACCTTTGTGTGGCTGGAAAAATGCCTGGAAATGCCTGGAAAGAGGGTTTTTTTAAGTATAACTAAACTAATAGATTTTTGTCCTTTATTTTGGTTACCATTGTAGATGTTTTTTACAATTAAATCTGGCTCAAGCAAGGGTGATTTCAGTAGCTGGGTGTAAAATAAAACACAGCTAGTAGCAACCATTTGGGACACATATTTATTTATTATCCCTTCTTATAACATGGGGAAGTTGAGAGAGAAATCAGATTAGCTGGTGTACTTTTTACAGTCTATAACCTGGGCCCAGGTTTCCTTCTTTCTACTCCTCTCTCTGTTCTTACCCTTCTTTAGTTCTATGTATCTGCTTTTCCAAAGGAAAATTTTCCAGCCAGGGTTACTTGTACAACACTGTTTATGGCAATAGTTAGTTTTAAAGCCCTGAGCGGTTTCAGTTTCTGCGTGTCCATTGCCGAACTGGAGATAGAACCTGTTGTCTGATGTGTGTTCTGTGCCAAACGTCTTTATCGTTTACCGATATCAGAATATCGCTAGACGTATTTCTGAAAGAAACAGGACTTTTTTTTAGCACCAGCGCCAAATGCTGTGGCTAATAGTCGAAGGGCCAGTTGTTATTGCTGAGTATTGAGCGGTTGTTTTTTGATAGCACCTGAAGAGATCCTTCTTGGTCAGGCCCTCCCAGTACTACGTGCTGTACACACATGTAACAGACAGCTCACAATTTCAGCACACGACAAGGAAACAGGCAAAGAGAAACAGGAGGAGTCGAAGAAGACAAGGTACCCATGTAATGATCAGGTTTCACTCTCACAGGCTGGATAATAATGAACTCTTCACTGTCCGACAAGCGAAATCTTTTAATATTCTTGTTCAAAAAGCCAGAGCTGAGCTGACCATAGCTGTACATAAAGCAAATAGGTCTGTACGCTGTAGATCTGTGCAAGCTTCAGCGCAGACTCTTTAACTCCGATGTGCTGTAGGGGAGGCTTTGGGTCCGATGTATCCACACATTTTATTATCTTCGTTAGCTGATTTTAAATTCATCCCCGGTGCAGGCAGTTCTCAACAGGGCTGTTGTTAACAACGAGGACTGCCAACATCGTCTGTTGGGTTTGGTTCTCCTCCCCACCGGTGCACAGCTGAGCCAGGTGTGCAGGAACATCTGGGAGCCAGTTCCAGCTCCTGGTTTGGCCCTGCTGAGAGTTAGGGCTCCTTGAGCCATTGACTCTGGGTCCTTAGTGGAACAAAGCCTGCGGCTGTACTTACACAGCCGGGGAAGCAGTGACTGTGAAAAAGCTTTAGGGATAATCAGCCGAACATGAGTTCCATTTGCAATGCAGGGGCCAAAGGGCTATGTGATCCCTGGATGCATAAACACGGGACTCTTCAATAGGAGTAGAGAAGTTACTGTACCTCGGTATTTGGCACTGCTGCGGCCGCTGTTGGAATACTCTGTCCAGTTCTGGTGTCCACAATTTCACAAAGGATGTAGAGAAATTGGACAGGGTCCAAAGAAGAGCCACAAGAATGATTAAAGGATTAGAAAACCTGCCTTATAGTGATAGACTCAAGGAGCTCAGTCTATTTAGCGAAGAGAAGGTTAAGAGGTGACTTGATCACAGTCTACAAGTACACCTCTACCCTGATATAACACTGTCTTTGGGAGCCAAAAAATCTTACTGCGTTAGAGGTGAAACCGCGTTATATCGAACTTGCTTTGATCCGCTGGAGCGCGCAGCCCTGCCCCCCCGGAGCACTGCTTTACTGCGTTATATCTGAATTCGTGTTATATCGGGTCGCGTTATATCAGGGTAGAGGTGTATCTGCAATGGGCTCTTCAGTCTTGCAGAGAAAGGTCTCGCGTGATCCAAGGGCTGGAAGGTGAAGCTAGAGAAATTCAGACTGGAAATAAGGTGTCCATTGTTAACAGTGACGGGAATTAACCGCTGGAACAATTTCCCCAGGGTAGTGGTGGATTCTCCATCACTGGCAAAGTTTCAATCAGGATGGGGAATGTTTTGAACAGGTCGGCTCTCGGGCTTACGGGGCGCAGGTCTCTGTGCGATGCAGGAGGTCTGATGAGATGATCACAGTGGCCTGGGAATCGATGAATCTCTGGACTCAGCACAGTGGAGCATAAACGTAGCACAGTTGCCCTCTGACAAACCCCTCCCCATGCATCCTCCCCCCCCACCATGCCCCTTACACGACAGGGGAGGAGAACAGGTTGCAAAGCCACTGCTCTCTGGCTGGTCTGAGCCTGGAGGCCACAGGCAACTGGGCATGAATGAGAGGACCTCTGAGACTGCTCTAACTGATGCCAGGGAGGGGAAGTTCCCCGCACAACCCCCAGCAGTCTGGCCCTGCATCTTTGTAACCACCACCCTGCTGTATGCTGCTCTTTACTCGCAATCTTCATGGCCATCCTGGAATCTGCAGCTGTCCAGAGCGACCCTGGCCCCTCGGCTGCCTGTCACATTGATCCAAGAGCTCAGTGCAGTCACAGCCGCAGTGTACCTCATGGCCCAGACAAAGGGCAGGGTAGGTGTGAGAGCCGCCTGCAGTGTGCCAACACTGTGCGTCAGATTCCTTTATCTCTCTGTTTGCCTTGGTTTCCCACCTCTTCATTTCCTCCTCTCCGTGTTCCTTGCTCTTTGATGTTTGTTTTCTCAGCCTGCAGAAATCGCTGAGGAATTGCAGTAGAACAGGTTCTTCCAATTGACCTGCCTCTTGCTTTATCCCCAAGCCTGATCAACTTAGGGCAGGTCTTGGAGGGTGGGTGCGGGGTGCCATAGGAACACAGCAGCTGCCAGATTGGGTCAGAGCCAAGGATCACCTAGGCCAGTAGCTGGTCTCTGATGGTGGCCAGCACTAGCTGCTTCACAGGAAGGTGCAAGGACCCTGCAGCAGACAGCTCCGGGAGAAATCTGCTGCCAGGGAAAATTCCCTCCCAAGCCCCAGTAATTAGGGGCTGGCTTATGCCTGGAGCGTCAGGTTTCATGTCTGATCCCTGATGCGGGAGGGTTTTTTAGCACGTACCATTCTAATTCTGGGTATTCTTGGTATCCATAGAACTGTCCAGTCTTTTTGTGAATCCCGCTGAGCTCCCGGAGGGACTGACGTAGCTTTAATTTACCTCCAGGCCCCGCTGCAGGGCTTGATGAAACGCACTGTGAGGCTGAGTTCATGGTGGTTTGGGTCTTGGCTCCGTGATGGGCACTGAAACTGGACGAAAGGCTGAAAACCAAGGATAAGAAGACAATAGCCACATTCTCCGCCGCTGGGAATCGCGTAGCTCCAGCTGGAGTCAGTGGAAGTCAAGGTCTAGCCCAGTGCATTGAGCTGGGGATAGCTGTCTAGTGGGACATGGCAGACCTTCTGTTGAGTCCTGTCACTTGCAGGCGATCCTCCTAGGCCCTGCCTGCCGACCCCTTCTTCACTGAACCAGCTGACCAGCCCCATCAGGGTAGGAGAGGAACAGCAAGAAGGAGCAACTGGACCCAGCGCAGAGAGAACACAGCAGAGCAGGTGGTACTGGAAGCCATGGCCGGTGCCCCATTTCCTCAATGACCCCATCACCACCATAGGGAACAGTGGGTCCCAGATGCATTGTCCAGCGCGAGTCTCCCTGTGAGCAGTTCTCCAGCACAGCGGGCACCAGGGTGAGCAGGGTGCTAAGCCAGGTGAGACGGGGCTGGGACCAAGCCCATCCAGGCGAGTTCCTGGGAAGAGGCATATTTAGAATAGCTCTGGTTAACAGGGCTGCCCCACAGCAGGAGGGGTTCCTGCCACGTTCGGGCCCCAAATGCACCAGAGGCACCTGCATCTTCTGGGGCACGTTAGTACCCATGCCCTGCTCTAGAGGGGCAGGAATTCCCTCACTCATCAGCCTCACCTTTCAGGACCAGCCCACAACAACTAAGAGAGGGGCAGGGCCAACCTAAAACTCCACTGTGCTGTGTGCAGGGACGGAGCCAGGCCATCATCGCTGTGGTGTTGACCCTGGTGGCCTCTGAGCCTTCGCCCTTGCCACCTCCAGGAGCCTTCACACTGCCTGCCCCTTACTCCAGGCAAGCCGCAGAGAGTGCAGTGGGCTACACTTGTTTGGCTTCCAGACCCTTTCCCAGCTCTGGGCCAGATGCTCAGCTGGAGCGGGCGGGCAGTGCTCACTTACACCAGCTGTGAATCTAGCTGCTTGGCTCCAACCTGGGCCTTCAACCCTGACACTGTTCACTGAGTAACTATTTACCTACCACCACTGTAGAGTCTTCAAATGACTCACATCTAGTAAGCCTTTGGCCAAACATCTTTATGAGCTGAACAATATATATATTTTAAAAAAGCCATCTAGCAGGTAGCATTTGCCTATGGACTAGCCCAGCTAATCACATTAGCCCCCGCCCTTATCACAGGTAAAAATACATTTGTTCCCTGACATTATAAAACAATCCAGCCCCAGCCCTCTTATCAAATTAGTTTTGATGCATTTGGTTCAGTTTTGCCGTACAAATGTCAGTATTTAACCTCCTCGGCGTTCTGCAACTCAGAAGAGCCTGGGATTGATTGGGCCAGGAAGTCTCCTTAGAGACCCATTTGTCAGCCAGGGTTTTCCACACTTCTGCCAAGCCAGATTGCATCCCCGCTCCTTGACTTGCAAGAAGGAAAAAGGTTTAAACTGACCACCCTGAACATCCTCCCAGAGAGCAGTGATGCTGACGCTGGAGGGGAGGCTGCTGGGGAAGACGCTGCCTCCTCTTTAATACACAATTAAGGCATGAACACAGGCTCACTCACCTGCCTGCTTCTCTGAACTGCCAGGTATTTCTGAAGTCAAAAACAAATACATTTTGCAAACGCTCTGAGCATAACAATGATCGTTTCAAAGCAAATTGCATCTATCTGTTCAGCTAGCAGGCCCGGTGTCGGATCCTCAGCAGGGGGAAATTGGCACGGCTGCAT